CCAGGATGTAGCTAGTTATTTCTGTTGATTTTATGTAGAAAGATCAAATGTAATATAATTTTTTTATTACCTGGTTATACGCTCAGCATACATTCCAGAAACTCCACCATCACCCAAGCGAGGATCCCACCCACATCCCTATATCTCACCCCTCCTCACCCTGTCCTTACCTCCAGGTCTGCTGTTCATCCAATCGCTGAACTGAAAGTTAACCAAGGTGTCTAAAATGTACTGAGAGTCTCAGACGTAAAGTTGATATTTTTATTACATATGGCTTGGATATTAAAAACAATTTTAAATGTAATTTTGCTTTAGGCCAAGTTAAAATGTTGAGAACATAAAGTAACCACAACCTTAGGAAAAGAGATTGTTCTGTAGCCATAACAAGTAGCCACCAGAGCCGATTTTTTTTTCTTTTTTTTTCTTTTTTTTTTTTTTTTGAGACAGAGTCGTGCTCTGTCGCCCAGGCTGGAGTGCAGTGGCCGGATCTCGGGTCACTGCAACCTCTGCATCCCCAGTTCAAGCTATTCTCCTACCTCAGCCTCCCGAGTAGCTGGGATTAAGGGCCTATGCCACCACGCCCAGGTAATTTTTTGTATTTTTAGTAGAGATGGGGTTTCACTATGTTGTCCAGGCTGGTCTGGAATTTATTTCTGACCTCGTGATCCACCGGCCTCGGCCTCCCGAAGTGCTGGAATTACATGCGTGAGCCACTGCCTGGCCCAGAACCGATTTTCAATCAGCTCAACCTGTCAGTAACAATCGCTTCTGTAAGTACTTTTGAAAACCAAATGGTGTCTGCTCCTGGCTTCTGAAAGTCAGCTGATCAGTGATGGACTCACCCCAATAAACAGACCTGTGAGTGCCGACCAAACAATGATAGTCTCTGCCAAGTAACCATATTCCCACAGACATCAACCTAATTAAAAAAAAAAATCAGCCATCTTTTGTGTTTGCAAAGACTGCTTTACAGTGTAGCTCTCGCTTGAGTGAGCTTTCATTTTGTCTTTTTAAAGTATTGAGCAGTGCTTTCATCATCCTTTGAAAATATCCCTTTGTGAAATCTGAAATGTCTAAGTTTCATTTCTTGCTGAGATTTTTACCGTTTATTTTTCACATCTGTAATTCTGTATTCTATAAAATGATATGGTCTTTACTACCACATTGCTGTAAATGTAGACCTTGGCAGGCTTTTGCTGTTTTCTATATGTGTATCAGTCAGATTGAGCAAATTAAATACCAATGTTTGAAAACACACTCTAATGGCAAGTCTTCAGCAGTCACTCCTTGAAAAGATAGCGAAGATAGGCCGGGCACTGTGGCTCACGCCTGTAATCCTAGCACTTTGGGAGGCCGAGGTGGGTGGATCACCTGAGGTCAGGAGTTCAAGACCAGCCTGGCCATCATAGTGAAACCCCATCTTAAAAAAAAAAAAAAAAAAAGATGGTGCAGTGGGTGAGGAGACCATCAGGTAGAGGAAGCACGTGGCAGCCACAAGCAGACTCCATAGGCTGGATCCTGAGAAAGGGACCAGAAAACATGGACTTCAGATGGTCAGCGGGCATCAGACACACATCCAACACACATGCTAGCCCCACTCTAACACCCTCATTTCTTCACTAAAATTTCTCTTAGGGCGTTGTTGGGTACCAGCCCAATCCTGTTCATGGGTGCCCCAAGTCCCAGCGGTGATGAGAGATTGAGAAATGAAATAAAGACACAGAAATAAAGTGTGGGTCCAGGGGACCAACGTAAAGTGCAAGGATCACTTTATCCCTGAGTTCTGGTTTCCCCAGGTTTTTATTAGGTGCACATACTGGTTCATTGAGGGGTGAAAAGCAGGAGGGTTTATCGAGGGAGGCCTTGAAACTACTGGGGGAGGCCTTGAAAGTACTGTGGGGCAAGATAGCCAGGGGGAGAAGCATGCATCATTAGAATACATTGAAACCGTGGGTCTTCTAAGAGCAGCTCATCTAGTATGCCAAGTTTTACCAGTGATCATTATCGATATGCAGCTGCACTGGAAAAATGCAGATAGGGCATCGCCAGGCCTGACCACACACAATGAATGCATCAGGGGGCTTTTATTTCCCGAGCACTGTGGACATAGGGTAACCAAGATCCCCCCTGTCCTGAGAACATGGCAGAGCAGGAGGTGCTCCATCAAGGCCTTCCAGCTTTGCCAGCTCCCACTTGCAAAGACCCTTCCAGATCTTGTGAGCAGAGGTCAACAACCTTTCCTGGGTGCTTACACAAGCCCTCTTTATGAGACCCTGGGCAGACCCCATAATGGAAAGGAGTTCGTGGGACCAAGGCAGTGTTTTCCTGCCTTGCAACCACACCGTGGTTGTGCCACGGTTAATGGGGCGCTCTCAGATGATCTAACTTTAGGCCTCCCTTTACCGCTTCTGCTCGTGCTTTTACAAGCTACAGCCTGCTCTCTTTTGTGCTGTGCTTTTCATTCACTGCTGTATTTCTGGGTATAAACTTCAGTGTACTGAGAACTCTGTAAACTAATAAGCAAATCAAACAGATTTGTTTAATCAGTACTAGAAGAGACGGCATATGTCTGCCCTTGGTCTGGGCCCACAGGGCATCATGTCACCTGTTCCATAAGATTTTCTGTTTTCTTTCCCAAGCCCTTTAGAGGAGAGCAGGGATGAAATGGGTAGGTGTCACTGCTGAAGATGAGGAAATGATGTCAACATTTAATTCCGAGTTTAAGAGGCTGTTATTTCCATTGTGTAGCTGAATGTGAAGTGATTGCAGCAAAACTAGAGAGAAAAGGTGACACCCTCTCTGGCCCATACAGGGATCAAACCCATGACCTGGGTGTTGTTAGCACCACACTCTAACCAACTGAGCTCACCAGCCACACAAAAAATGTCTTTCTTTTAATTCTAAAAAACCAAAAAGTTTGTTGCTGTTCTTTGTTTAAAACTAAAGGAAATTATTTTCCTCTTCCCAAAACCATGTCTTTTTAAGTAATTTTGATTGCGACTACCGTAATACTGTTTCTTCAAACTTTTGTTGATGTTTTGCATTTTCCGTTGCTGCGCTCCAGCAGGGACGAAGAAAAACAAAACAAGGACAGGGCCAAAACCTCTACCTCCAACAGTAGGGAATTTCGCCTCTGCGGTGGGAAATGAGATTTTCTCAAACTCTCCTATTTTTGCCCAGCAAAAATACTACAGAGAACCATTCACAAGAGGGGCTTCCTTCCTTCTAACCCTGGGAAGGGTCCAGAGACCTGGGGGACCATCTGGAAGCAGAAGCTGGTTGTTCCGTTTTCCAACCAAATGGTTTGATGATGAAATTGACACATCACGCAGAATGTCTGCTGGATTTGGCTCACGGCTAGAGGAATCTGCTCCATACTGGAAAAGAAGTCTCTGGCACATATGCCTCAGGGGTTCATAAGGACTGGGGAGGTGCTCCTTCTCCGTGCCCCCCAAAATGCCCAGTGGCATGTCTGTTGCTCCACTACACATTATTATTATTATTTTTAGTTTTTTGAGACGGAGTCTTTCTTTGTCGCCCAGGCTGGAATGTGCAATGGTGCAATCTGGGCACACTGCAACCCCCGCCTCCTGGGTTCAAGTGATTCTCCTGCCTCAGCCTCCCGAGTAGCTGGGATTACAGGCGCCCGCCACCACGCCAGGCTAATTTTTTGTATTTTTAGAAGAGACGGGCTTTCACCGTGTTAGCCAGGCTGGTCTCGATCTCCTCGTGATCCAACCGCCTCAGACTCTCAAAGTGCTGGGGTTACAGGCGTGAGCATCGCGCCCGGCCCACTGCGCATTACTATAATTACTTGCCTCTGTTCCTCTTTGTACTGTCTTGTTCTTCATTCTCCTGATATCTCGGGGTCCTGCACAGCAAGGTAGGCTGCTCAATAATTTAATGAATGGGGAACAGGTCTGCTGATTATCAAGACTTCATGTCTTCTAAGTGGAGCACGAGGATCCTCTAGGAGTCAGGCAAACGTCATCAGGAATCTCAACGTCTTTCCCCCCCAAAAAAATATTTTCAACAGAAATCAATTTACCTCCTCATTGGTGGTGGAATGGGAAGACGGTGGAGAAAGCCGTCCTTTAATAACAGCTCTGAGGTCTCTGTTCTCCAACAAAGGATTTTGTGAAAACCTTTTCCCTCCCAGTTCCTGCTGCCGTAGCTGTTGGAAGGCCAAGGACTTCCTCTCAGCTGGGCTTTGGTGCCTGTTCCTGTCCCAGCCTATGGATCCTGGTACTCTTTCACTGCACCTCGGGCAGCCTAAGGGGTCTCCAGTTCAACGAGCTCAGCACACAGTACTTTTCAGAGAGGGAACGCACTGGCGGTGCAAACAGGGTTGAGTTGGTTCAGGTGTGCATGTGTTGAAATAGACAAGTCTGCGCCCTGGACCCTCGCAAAGATCCTGAACAGGCAGCTCTGCTTCCTGGACAATTTCCCAGGAATTCAGAGTCTGGATCTGAAGTGGAAGTTTCGCCCAGGATTTTGTTAGCACATAGTCAGCAACTTCCCTGTTTTAAAACTGCCCCTGTTTTTCTAACAATAACCGCCTCTTTCTGCTTCTGTACCTCAGCTTATTGTTTACCAGCTAAAAACCTTCAGGAAAACCGCCGCATCGTCTAAACCTGCTGCACTGTCTGAAGCTCTGAGTTACTCCCGGACCCCTTCACCTGTGAAAACCGTGGGCTGTTCTTAGCCGCGTCCAGATTCTGAGCGTAGTAAAGAGTGCGCCTCCGTTTCCCTGACGGCCGCCTGGGTTTCCTGTCAGGTAACACTTTCCACATTTGGTTCCCTGACCCCTTGAGCCGCCGGTTTGGGGTCAGAAAGGACGGACAGCTCGCCTGTGCCCCACCGGGGAACCAGGCAGCCCCCCGCCCCCCAAGCTGCTCCAGGGCCTCCTTCCCTGGAAGCGGAACCACTGCTGCTCCGGCGTTGCTGCTGGCCGGACGCGCGGGGGAGACGGACTGAACTGA